TGAGAGACCAAATGGTTCAAATATTTAATGAATAGGGGAAAATTTGTTCAGATAATAAATCAACAAATACAAAGTGTGAAATAAAATCATAAATAATAAAATTTATTAAAAGAATTAAAAATTAAGTGATTTGCTGTGGATTTAAACGTGACCATGATTCTCTCACCTGCAGGTGGAGTCCAGTTAGGATCCCTTGTGTCCTCCACCTCATCCTCCGGGTCAGAATCAGGTGACTCACAGCGGCGCCGGCGCGGAGGCGGGTTTCGCTTGGCAGTGTTGCAGCTCGGAGGTCTCCTCTGGGTCCTGGACTCGGTGAGTTTCGGGGACAGCCTGACGGCCGGTTTGATGGTTCTGGTGCGAGTAGTGGTGCAGTGCTGCAGCAGAGCGCCCCCGTCTGGTCCGTCAGATCTGACTGAGAAACACTGCAGCAGCATCGCAGGTGACGCTGCAGGTGACGCTGTAGACGAATAAACAGAAAACTCATCTTCTGTCTCAAACACATTACTGCACGTCTCACAGGCTCCAGCAGCCGGATGACAATAAAAACTTTAGACACGTCATTTCAGAGAGGCCTTCAGCCAATCAGAGCAGAGTTGTGACTGCAGCAGGAGAACATCTGTCCGTCTGCAGCAGGAGAACATCTGTCCGTCTGCAGCAGGAGAACACCTGTCCGTCTGCAGCAGGAGAACATCTGTCCGTCTGCAGCCATGTTTTGGTGATGTTTTGCAGCGCTGGATAAAGTCTGATAAAAATTCTAACCAGCATGCATTGTGTTAAGACAGCACCGCATCAACTAGAACGCCCCTAAACACTGAGGGGCTCAGGTCCGCCCCCTCCTAGTGATACCCGTCTACCTGCAGATGGCAGGACACCTCACCTAAATGTCTCAGCAGGTCCACCTGGACGCCGGCGTCCCTCCTTGCAGCTGAGTCGCTCTGACATCCCACCTCCCTCGTCTCCTGCTGTGGACTCTCCCACTGACAGCCCACCTCCCTTCTCCGCACCCCATTCTCCCCTTCCACTCGCAGCAGGAACCCGCAGAGCTCTTCTCCTCCAGGGGGCGCCACAAGTCCGGACGACATCTTTACAAGCACCTTAAGACAATCAGAGGACAGGTCACTGTCACAGAAACACCATCGTCATGGCAACAGCCACAGCCTCAGTTCATTGCCAGCTGGAAACTCCGCCCCTAAATGGCAGCAGATCCGGTGTTCGTCAGGTGACCTGGTCACTGTGTGCTCTATCAGACCCTGCGGACTCAGTATCCCATCATGCACTGAGAAAAGAGGTAATGTCACCAATAAAGCAACATTCAGCTCCAAATTAAAATCTACACAAACAGATCAATAATCAGAGGATTCATAACTAATCACAGGAAGTTATTTACTGTGGCATTGATGACGTCATTCAGTGACTAATTTAGCCTCAACGGAGAAGATCCCGTTTTAATGGAACGTGACGTGATCGATGATCATTGATCATCAGCTGTTTCCTGAAACTCTCTCACTACAGGACGCTACACATGCTAACATTAGCCTGATGCTAAAGCCTTTCCGAGGCGGGAAGGATGAGCAGGGGGTTTCCGGTTTACCTGAGAGCGGAGCAGCTCGTGCGCACACCGTGACGTCGACTTAACGTCTGAACGAAAAAAAACTTGAAAAATAAAAACTCCGGTTTCACTTCGGACACGTCCGGAACCTCGGGCCACACCGGAAACACTGCTTCTTCTTCTGCTGCTGCTTCCTGCTTCTCATCAGGGTCGGGCGGCTTGAAAGTGCCTCCACAGGCCAGAGGACGAACTGCAGCTCAGACTTCTTCCTGTTTAATGACGGTAGTGCACCTCACGTTGGAGGTGCATCAGCGCCCCCTACTGTGCCGGAGTGTTTGGTCTGCAAAAGAAAAACCCTTGAACTCAATCCTGTTCATTGATTCAGTTCCCTTTAAAAACTCAAACTTTATATTTGGGGGGCAGGAGCTCAGTCTTGGCTTGGGAACCGGAGGGTGGCCGGTTCAAGTCCAGCATGGACGGAAGTTGGAGAGGTGCACTGCCGAGGTGCCCTTGAGCACCGAACCCCCCAATTGCTCCCCGGGCGCCTTCATGGCTGCCCACTGTTCCGTGTGGTCACTGTGTGCTCCGTTCACACGGATGGATTAAATCCAGGTCAGATTCCCCATGTTTGCATGTTGTGTGTGTGGGACCAGAAAGAGGAATCTGAATATTTCCCTCCGTCGACACTGAGCAGATTCTTTGGGTTTGACTCGTTTCTTCAGCTGCTTCTCTTTCTCTTTCTTTCTCACTGATGGATGACGTTCAGTGACTGTTGTGTGTCATTGCCCTCGATGCTCAGGGAGCTGGATCCACACCAACCTGAGATCTGCTATGTCATCACCATCAGTTGATCTGCTGTGATGAGTCAGTCTGAACCTGTTTCATTTGGTTTTGCTCTGTCCACTGTGATGTCATCGATATTGCCAACACCTCACCTGTATAAACAGTGATCAGCTGTGTTTGACAGTGTAACAGAGCAACCACTGTGTGGACAGACAGACTGAGGGGACAGTGTCCCCCGGGGGACAGCGGGACCTCCTTTGATAAACCACCTAAACTGGAGACCTCTACTGGAGAATACTTCACGGTTCTTTGTGTCTGAGACGGTTTTTCATGTTTTTACTTTTAAAAGAACCAAAGAGTCAACCGGTCGACATTTTGACGAGAGAATCTTCCTCACTGGAGGACTTTGTGGAGGAGCAACATCCTGAGTCTGGACTTCTGTATATATAGTAATATATAATCAAATAATATATCCATATCATAATATACATAATGACGTAATAATATAGTTGTATAATCGCCCAGTGATCCAGTGACTGTTGTGATTTCAGACTCAGACTCTGTGACGTGTATAGAGATTTTTATTTGGAATATACATAACGACATAAATAAAAGATTTCATCACAATAAAGTTCTCATCAGCACCAGAGCCATAAACTAACAGGGTTCAACCAACATTACCAACTCACCAGAGTTAAACCAACCCAGAGCCACGAGTCGTTCCCTGGTTTAACTGTGGTTCTGTTGCTCAAAAGATTAAAATCATGCAACATGATTGTCTCTCTGTCTCCCCCTCTCGCTCGCTCTTGGTCTCTCTCTCTCTCCCCCTCTCTCTCTCTCTGTCTCTCTCACTCTCTCTCTCTTTGTGCTTCTGGAGAACGACCACGACGACACTGACCACGACTGAAGGAATAAATATTCTTCTTCCTGTTTCCCGTTGATTTATTTACAATATGAACAGCTGCTGACGACTGAGACCGTCGACATCAAGCACCAACGAAGAAGACACACAACCGGACGGACAAATGTCTTCACACGTCTTTTCTCTGAGGAAATAAAAAAAACACAACTCATCTCAACTCAAAGTCGCAGTTGCCATGGAAACACAACTAAAGGAAGTGGACGGTGAGTTGAGGTGGTTTCATCATCGATCAGCTGTTTGTTACAGTTAAAACTTTATAGTTGAACGTACGGTGTCCCACAGGGCTCAGTTCTCAGTCCACTCTGTTTCTGAACACAAACCTCAGTTCAGCTGGAAGAGAAGAAGAAGAGCCGCTGACATGTGACATGATTATTGATCGTCGATCAGTCGTTTTAGCGTCTTATCCAACAATCACAATGTCATCCACTCAGCTTTTATTTTGACAGGACAGGAGGTGATCACAGTGGGTTCAGCTGCTCTTATTTTGACAGTCTGAATAGACATGGGTGCAGTTTTCTGGTGGGGTGTGTGGGGGGGTCAGGTATTGATTATCGGACGTTGTTTTGGTTCATTAACACAACGAAACAATACAAACACAACAACGTGACACAATAAGATCAAACAGAGTGAGTGTGTGTCCATGCTGCACGTCACACTTCAGTCTGACAAGGCAGTGCAAATACATCCTCCTCCTCCTCCTCCTCCTCCTCCTCCCCCTCCTCTACTCCTTCAGTCAGTAGTAAACCTCCTCATCCTCTGGAGGGTGAACATGATGAAGGTTCTTGTTGAAGTTAAGCAGAGTTGAGATACTCCAGAGCAACTTCATAACAGAATTTATACTGTTCCTGCAGAGAGAGACAGAGGTCAGAGGTCAGCAGAGGTCAGAGGTCAGCACATGTACAACAAATCATGATGTGTACAATATTAATAATTCAATTAAAAATGTACTAAATCGTGATGATTGTGATAAAAACAATAATTTGTATGAATGTTTTTATTAATTGATCTGAAATCAAAATGAAAATATGTGAAGATGATAATAAGACGTAAATCAATTCCTGAATATTCACAATAACAATGAATCATGAGTGTTTACCAGCAGATCCACCATGTTGGGTTTGTTGTTCCTCAGAGTTTTAACAGCGTGAAAGACGTCGACACATCGCTGCTGTCGCAACATCTCGCACACGATGCTGATGCTGCAGAACACACCGCTGCGACCGCCACCATTCCTGAAGGGGGCAGCAGAGAGGAGGGAGGAGTTAAGTGTTGTTCTACTTTTCAACACATGATGGAGACAAATCACCACTGATGAAAAGATCAGCTCCGTTTTACCAACAGTGTTAGTGTGTGTGTGGCAGGGTAGTTGTATTACTACAAGTACCAGAAGTACTACAGTACCAGTGCTAATACAAGTACCAGTAGTACTACAGTATTAGTAGTACTACAGTACCCATGTTGCTACAGTCTGAGTGTGTGCTCGTGGTCGTACAGGCAGTGCACCACTGTGCGCCCCTCGCCGCCGTCATACTCCTCCTGCCATTTGTCCACTTGATGAACCAGCTTGAGGAAGGAGCGCTTGGACACGGGCGTGTCCCGGTACATCGGCCAACCCAGGAACTGGAACTGCTGCACCATACGGTACCCGTCCTGAGGCTGCACCACACAGGGAGGACAGGGTGGTCAAAACAAAGTCACCTCATAATTAACACAAACTCTACTGGGAAGAAAGGAAAGCAGGAAAGGACAGAGAGGAAAAGGAGGAGGTGGAGATGGAAAGAAGGAAGTGAAGGAGTAGATAAACAGATCCTAACACGTGAACAGGGAGGAGAAAGTGTGACCTGCCACAGCCGGGCGGGTGGGGAGGGGAGTCTGGATCGGGAGAACCAAAATATAATGAAACACGAATCAAACGCATCTAAACCTAAACTCAGCCCGACGGGGAGGTGAAGGTTTTAAAATCAAACACATTCTGATCTAAACCTGTTGAAACTGGAAACACACACACACACACAC